AGCCTTACTCTCCCCTTGGTCTCACCCTGCCGAGCACGTGGGGGTGCACCCAGAGGGTGGTGGTGATGGGCAGTGTGGGGTACCGCCTGCTACGGCGTCAGCATGCTGCTACCACCAGCTGGGGACAGCCATGAGTTTGCAGGTCTCTGCTGAGCAAAGGCACTAAGGGGTGCAAGAGACCGTGTTTGGGGCAGCTGTCCCTGGGAACCCCCAGTCGCCCTGCTTGGCAAGAGTAGGGGCTGCTGGGTCACTCCTGGGATCCGTGGGGATTCGCTTCTCTCTTGTGCAGCGAACCCTGGTGGGAGGGGTGCAAATGAGAGAGAGAGAGAGAGAGAGAGAGAGAGAGAGAGATGCTGCAATGATTGCAGGGAACTGGTCACTAGCCCTGCTCCCCTCCAATCCGCTGGAGGACAAAAGTGGTCTCTCCCGCCACCCAGTGGCAGTGCCGGGAACGGCCTCATTCTTGGCTTCCCAATGAGCCCTGGCCCCCTCTCTGCTGTGTCACTGTGTTTCCTTCTCTTGATCGCCCTGCCATTCTGCAATCCCCCTTCTCTCCTCTCTTTCTCTCTGTCCCTTCCCTTCTCCATATCCTCCCCGTCTCTCTTGCTCTCCCTGGCTGACAAGCGGCCCGTGAAATTTCAGTGCTGCCCACGGTGCAGGAGCCCCCCTTTCCCTGCTGATTTGCAGTCATTCCTGGTTTTGCATTAGAACTGGCTTTGCGGGGGGGACGGGGACAGGGCTTCAGTTTGAGTGAAATCATTTCCTCCATGCGCAAGGTGTGAAATGCGACACTTTGACAAGTTAGTTTTCCCATCCAAAGCGTTGGGGTGGGGAGGGGGGTTGATGAAACGTGACATCTGGGGATGGGAGAAGAGAAACCGAACATTAGGAGATCTTGCAGGTTGGGGTGGGGGGTTTAAGGAGAATCATCCCATTTCCTGCCTTTGAATCATGGGGCTAACAAGACCGTTGGCGAGGAGACAGGAGCCAAACTCCCCTTCTCTGCTCGACACAGAACCACGGCCTCTCCCTTTGGATTTACCCCCTGGAGCCAAGAGGAGGGAGGAATCTGTACAACCCCAGAGACTTCCCCACCTCCTCATGTGGTACCAGTCCCCAGCTGACTTCCATGGGCAGCTCCAGGGGGAGAACTGAGCTCCCGTTTTCCACCAGCTGCTTGGGCCTGAAAAGACCTTATGACATCTCTGAGCAGGAGAGAGAGGCACCAATTCTGAACTGCAGCCAAGCTGAGTTTAGGGCTGGGGGGGAAAGATCCAGCCCCCAGGTTCTGGCATTGGCTGGCAGCCAGTCTGGTCAACTAGCATCAGCTAGAGCAGCTGGAGGGCTGCTCTGTCTTGTACTCAGCTGTAGTAGCCCTCTAAGGAGCCATCCCTGCCTCTGGGAATGGTCCGAGATCAGCAGCATTCCAGCTACACCCATGTGCCAGAAGCTGTGAGGGGAGAAAAGGCTGGCGTAGAGAATCACACCAGCTTTGTACCCCCTCAAGATTCGCCAGTGTTGGGGTTACTCCCAGGGACTGGCCCCCCCAGCTCAATGGGGCCACGGCAGAGGCTAGAAGTGGGACGGCTGAGCGTGCGTGCGTGTGAGAGAAAGAGGCTGAGCCATCAGCAGCTAGCATTATCCAGTTTCCATTAGGGATAGATGTCACATTTTTAGCAGTTGAGACAAGAGAGGTTTTTAGTTTCGTCTGACTGGCTTTTCTGGACACACACACACACACACAGACACAGAGGCCTTCTAAACTGGCCGCCTTTTAATGTAGCTTGTCCGTTTTTCCTCTGTCTTGCGCTGGAAGGAGCAAATCGCCCCCAGCTGCGTGCACCTGTCCCATTCTGGCTGGCACGTCTCGCTGCAAAACCCTCTGCTACGATCAGTTTCATTGCCTTCCACTAATAACACTCCTAATGCAAAGGAGTTGGCACTGTCAATCCGGGACAATGCAAAAGAGGAGCAATTTTTGAGGGAAGGATGGAGATTTTAAATGTCTCTTGTTCAACAGCACAAACAAAACCTCTATCTCTGAGGATTGGGGAAGGTTTGAAATGAGGGACTAGCAACCATGGGTACATGGAATAGCTGCACTGGATCAGACTGGTGCTCCATCCAGCCCAGTCTCCTCTCACCAGCTGCTTCAGAGGAAAAAATGCTACACTTCTAGGATAACCTGTCCCCGGGGAAAGTTTCCTTCTGAACTTGAGGTTGGGATAAGCCCTGAAGCATCAGGATTCCTGTCTCTTCCCAAACTCTAGTTTGTTTGATGTTTCCTACAATCACTCATAAATGTCTAATCCTCCTTTGCACTCCTGCTTAGTGCTTGGCCTCTTGTGGCCATGAGAGCCACAAGCTCATCGTGATTGGTGTCAGGGGCGGGGGGAGGCATTGCCTTTTATTTGTTTTTGCTTTGCAACCATTCAGTGGTGGAAATCACCCATTGTTCTGCTGGTTGTCTGTCTGCCCGTAGTCCTGGCTTCTATTCCAGAGGGGAGTTTGGTGTTTGATTGGCAGCTGCATGCAGCAGAAGATGGGGAGGCAGCTGCAGAGCTATTCAGCAGTGAGGAGCAGCCCCAGGGCCTGGTGGAGCCAAATCTCCATGCTGGGGAGGCAAGGCAAGGCCCCCCTTGAGGGGAGAGGGGCTGCTCCAGTGTATGGCCTGGTCGCCTCACAGTGGGAGATGCTTAGAACTGGAGGGGTCAGACAGGCTGGCGAGGAGAGAGCGTGGAAGCCAGCGGGCCTGAGAGCAAGGGCAATGCTGCTGAGTGTGGAGGGGGGCGATGCGGTGATGGGAGGGGGAGCAGCAGCCTTGGGAGTGTGCATCGGCAATGCTCTGCTGCGGGAACAGTGGTGTAATGTTTTGCTTCTTTCCTCGGAAGGTCAGTGGGGCTGGATTCAGCTCTCGGCATGGCTGGTGTAAATCCAGAACAATGCCGCTGAAGTCCATAAAGTTGCTCTGGATTTTCCCCAGCTCCCCAAGAGCAAGATCTGGCCCCGTGTTGTGAGTGTTCGCATGGAAGGAATGTATCTTGACGTGTTTCCAGACGGCTGGCTGGTGCGTGCGTGTCCTTTCCTGATGGGACATTCCTGGATGTGTCCTGAGCCTGGCAGTGCCAGGAGAGACGAGGGGCTACTCCCCTGCACGCTCACTCTCTTTCTCTCCTCTGTCTGGAGCGGCCCCCTAGGGTAGTGTTGTTTTGAAGGCACTACTAGACAATGGCTAGAGCAGAGAGCTGGGAGTCAGGATACCTGGGTTCTATTCGCTGCTTTGCTACTGCCCTTCTTGGGCAAGTCCAGTCCATCGCTGTGTGCCTCAGTTTCCCCATCTCTCAGACGGGGTTGGGGATAATGATACTGACCTGCAGTGAGGCAGCAGGTTTGGAAGTCTTGTTAGTAATTAGCTCTAGTTAGTAATTCATTTGATTAACGAGTTCCTTGGATTGGAGGCTCTATAAAAGGGCATCGGATGACCCTCCCTCCCTCCCACTCTTGTGAGCCCTGGAGCAGAGAGTAGGCACACAGTACCGAGTCCACAGGAGGACAGGCCGCCCTGATGCAGCATCACTGCCAAGGTGCAGCCAGGACCGTTGGGGAAACAGCCCGGCATTCCCCTTCGCATTGAGGGCCCAATCCTGCATGATGCTAAGTACCTCAAACTCCCATTGGCTCCACAAGAGGTGGAGCATGACCAGCTCCTTGCAGGATTGGGCTTTAGGGGCTGCCCTTGGCAAAGTGCCCAGAATTTCCAGGTGGGCATTAACCCTGCCAGTGCACCACCCACAGCGAGGGCATTCCAGACCCTCTGCCGAGGACACAGGCACGTTCCAGGCAGATGGCTGCTGGCCCAGTGACAGAGGTTGGGGAAGGAAGGATGCAGACCCAGCTTTACTATGGCACTACCATGCAGGCACCCATGGAACTGGCATTCCACGGAGGAAGAGGGCTAGCTTTTTGTTAGGGGCTTTTATTGAGCCTAGGGGCCTAGCAGCTCGTCTTGCTCTCTTGGCCCCAAACCGCTGTCTGTGGTAACATAAAATATATAAAATAAACAAGGTGAAAAGGAAAATAACTTTGTTTCAATTTTCTTTTTCTTGAACTAGGCCAGGATCTCTGTGTGAACAGGATTAGCAACTGCAGTGCCACTGTACCGGCCAGAATAAAACAATAGAGGTTATCTATCCTCATGCTTCAGGGTGTAAATTGATCAGCAGCTGGGGTCAGGCAGGAGATGGCTCCATTACATGGAGTTGAATTACACAGATGCATCATCGGGTTTTCCATCTTCCTCTGAAGCATCAGACAATGTTGAGAGGTGTCTGAGACAGAGGGCTGGATGGGCTGCATTTGATACAGCAGGGAGGAGGGATATCAGGTTGGATGGCTCATTGGTCTGATCCAAAACCAGTAGATGGCCCCCTGGTCTGTTCCAGTGCAGTGCGAATTTCTATGGCCAAACTTTTGCAAAGCAGCCTCCCTGGTTTGTCTGCGTCTGTTTTCAGTTGCCCGACCGGACACACCTCAGGCCTGATTCTTGAGGAACACTGAGCACCTGGAGTTTCAGTCACCAGGAGCCGTGGGTGCTCAGCCCATCCCAAAAATCATGCTCAAGGCATCTCCAGGTGGGCAGTCGAAGCACAGAGGCAGCCTGAATCCGGGCCCTGCTTTTGGAAAGCTGGGTTTAGATGCCGCCGGTGAAGTGGGCTGAGGTCTGTCGCGTGCGGGGCTCCTGCATGCTGCTGGTGGTGGTGGCTTGACCTGGAAAGCTTGCAATGGTGCGCGGTCCGCCTGTCACTAACACCTAGAACCCGAGCGCTAACCCCGTGTCGTGGCCGCCGTACGTAAGCTCCTCCCCTTCCCCGATTTTTCCCTTCCTTGTTCCTTACCCTCATCTTCCAAACAATAACCGATTGAAATGCAAGCCCGGAGCGAGGGTGCGATTGCACATGGATTGACACTGTTCCCCCTTCCATCTGTCTTTTCCTACCCAGAATTCCCCTCCACCCCGCCTCCCAACGATGACCGCAAATCAGTGACGCAGCCGAACATCCCCACGGCCGTGATTGGGGGCGTGGTGGGCGGAGTCTCGCTGGTCCTGGTGGTGGCCGTGGTGCTCTTTGTGGGGCTCCGGCGCCGGCATCACACCTTCAAGGGCGACTACAGCACCAAGAAGCACGTGTACGGCAACGGGTACAGCAAGGCCGGCGTCCCGCAGCACCACCCGCCCATGGCCCAGACCCTGCAGTACCCCGACGACTCGGACGACGAGAAGAAGCCGGGCCCGCTCGGGGGCAGCAGCTACGAGGACGAAGAGGACGACGCCGGAGGCGAGCGCAAGTTGGGCCTCGCCAACAAGTATGAGGACGACGCCAAGCGGCCGTACTTCACGGTGGACGAGACCGGGGCCCACACGGAGCCCTACGGCGAAAGGACACTCGGCTTCCAGTACGACCCCGAGCAGCTGGACCTGGCTGAGAACATGGTCTCCCAGAACGACGGATCTTTTATTTCCAAAAAAGAGTGGTACGTTTAGCTCACCCCCTCCCCAGACCCCCACTCACGCGCCCCCCCCCGCCCTCCAGACCCCGGCCGAGGGCTGTTCGCACATGCATCGCACGCGCGCACTCACATCCATGCACGTCCACTGCTGCCCGGCCCAAGGGAGCTCGACAGAGACTTGAGACGCCTGCCACTCACTCGGAGGCAACGCGGGAGGGGTGGGAGGGGCTGGTAGCTTTGCTTTTGGATCGTTTTTTGGGGGGAGGTTGTTTTGGTTGGTTGGTTTGTTTTTTTAATTTCTCCCAATGACTTTGTCCCCTTCTGTGGTGTTTGTACTGATCAGTGGCTTAGGTGTTACTATTTGCTTTAACCACTACTGCCCATCCTTGTATAATATGCCCTGTTTGTGTCTTAGTGTCTCTAATCGCCCTTCCTCAAAGATCCCTCCCGCTCCATGCCCCCCGAAACACTGGAATATGTTTGTATGTTGTCTTATTTGGGGGTGGGGGGAGTCCATGGGAGGGCAAAAAAACAGGAGGACCAAGGAGGGGAAAAGCACAAAGCAATGAAGACCTAGATGCCATATCAGATGAACTTTTTTGTTTGTTTTTTTTGTGGTGTTTCCATTACCCACAATGCGCCTGTGACAAGCGAGTCTGTGTTAAGCATGTCATAAACAAATTAGAATCAAAGGAAACTAAGCAAAATCCAAGGCGCACGGGGCTGTTATTGGCACAGGGAAATGGAGCTGCCGTTTTCTGCCTCCCATTTATTATCCCTTTACAGTATTTAAAAACAAACCAGCAAAAAGAAAAGGAAAAGAGAAAGGGGTGGGGGGGGACCCTGGCCGTGGTGATGCTGCTGGTCACTGCTGGGGTGTCCTGTTGTTTAAAGACGTGAAGGATTTTTAGTTTTAGCCAAGGAGGAGTTAATTTCACCCTGTTTCCGATACGCGCCTGTCCTCTGCACATTCCTCCATGCCACAGTGATGGGAAGGGTTCCATGAAACACCCCTGTGCCCTTCCCGCAAACATGCTGCCTATGGGGATGGTGCCACCCAGCCAAGTGGATGGTTTCTTTAGGGGAACTCCAGCGCCATTCAGAATCAATGGGGGGCCTTTGTGTTGACTTCAGTGGGCATCAGGCCAGGCTCTTTGTATTTAGACTGCTAGCTCTTAGCAGTCATCAGTTTACATCCTTCCCCTTTGTGAGAGCATTGCCAGCCACATCTCCGTCATAATGATCCCTGCCCTTATGGCCACTGATAGCCTGCACCAAATAGCCCCTTGGGAGGCTGATTGAGCCGTGTGTGCTGATCTCCTCTCCCCCACGTTGAGATGTGATGGGGAAGTTGGAGGGAAGCTTGGATTGCTGCTACCCCTGCTGTTCTGTGGCTAAGATTTCAGTCTCCAGGGCTGTTGGTCTGGCACGGACTTTCCACCAAGGCAGGATTCACTAGGTGTTTGGTTTTTTTGTTCCTTTATCAAATGGCTAAATGAATCTCCCGTTGAAAAAGAAATCACCGGTTTCAGAGGCGTATTATAATGGGTTTAATTCTCCCCCAGTGCCATATACGGGTTTCATGCCATAGACGTTGACGGTGGCCCTGCCATACAACTGGGCAGCAGACTCGGACCCTTTATAATAATCCAGACCCAAATCCCACATCCAGGTCCAGCCAGACTCTGTTCCAAAACCAACTCCACGGTTTCTGGCTTGAGTCAGGTACAGTCGGACTTGACCCAGACCATTCCCTCAGCTGATCTATTTCATTACTGCTATGGGAGATGGGAAATCAGGTAACTCTCTTGTAATTGTTCTGGCTTTTCCTGGTGGTTTCTGGGCTTCTTGGGGGAAACACCACAAGAGTGGCTGTTCTTGGGGTGCTTCTGTCCCCATCGAAAGCAGGATGTCGTGGAGATCTCGGGAGAGACCGTCTCCACAGATCCAGGGGTTCAGAGAAGCCACTAAACTTTAGAGTGCCCATCCATCGCTGACAGGTGAATCCATACCCAGGGAGACTGAATTCTACCCTCACTTCAACATAGGGATTTGGGGATCTCGGATTTCTTTTTTCGTACTACTGAGCAAATGCCCCATTGAAGGAAATGAAATCCCCAGCATCCCGTTGATTAGGTACCGATTAAAGGCACTGTTGTAACCCTGCAAACCCGAAGGGAGTCAAGGCCTCACCCAGTCCTGCCTAGGGATAGCAGCACATATTGGATGAAGGCGCACCGCCGTGATATGAGACTCCCAGCACATGGCGGACACATAGGGGGCCCGGGATAAAGACAGAGCAGAGGAAGTAACTTTATACTCCTGGTGGATCTCAGTCAGTCACTTACCCTCCTGCAACCTTGCTGTCACCTCGGGTGGTCTGGTGGTTCCGTACTGTACGGTGCATCGTACAGTAGAGATGGGCCCTAGCCAAGTTCCCAATCCCAAACATAGGGGCTTCTGGAGCCAGATCTGACTCCAAAAAGGGCCAAACCAAAATCCCAGGCCCATGCTAACCCCAAACTCTGGGACATCCAAACTCCAGCTGCAGGTGTGAATTTGGCAGCTCGGGCCCACCTCTGAATGTACCCGCCCACATGGGTGAGCCAGAACTTCATGCAAAATCCGCAGGCCCAGTTGAGCAGCCCTTGTGTCCTGGGTTAACAACCCAAAGAAGCAGGAGCCCCCAATCCAGGGTCTGGCAAATTTTCTTACTGCTGAATCCCGCAGAGTTGCCTCAGGGTAATCCCAGCTCATTCTCATGTGTTGCTTATCAGCAATACACCCTGTTTGCAGAATCTCTGATGCAGTGAATCCCCAGTCATCCTGTTTCCATCCCTCCTTCCCTTCCTGATCAGTTTTCCTGGCTATCTAGATCTCCTTGTCCAGCTGAGGAGATGGATGTTTATCGCCAGGGGGAACATGGATACAGATTCTCAGCAGGAGGTTCAGTAGGGTGCATGGAGCCAGAGCCAGGGAAGCAGGATTTGATTCCTCTTTGTGATGGTTTGTTTGCCTGTATTTGAAAGTGATACGTCCCCTGTTTCCAAATGACTAGGTGATGGGATGGCATGTTCCCTTTGCGCGTAGCGTGCAAATGTGAAGTGAGGAGATGTGCCCAAATTTCCATTTGCACGCTCATATGTGAAAGCAAATTAAGTCACCACACCAGCGCATGCACCCTTTTTTAGACTTGTGTGTAAATGTGAACTGACCAGATGTAAGAGGGTGTCTTGTTTGCACACTCGCAGGCAGGAGGTGAGGTAAGGTGTGGTGTGAAGCAGGGAGCTCCCATTTGCACACTTAGATGGGAATCCTGCCCTCTCGTTAATGATCCAGAGTGTGTGTTTGTGTGAGACTCTCGCACCTGTAGGCAAATCAAGGGCTCTTTAGAGCTAGGGAGACAGACACATAGCGTTCCAGTGTAATGAGGAGCAAGCTTACAGCCTTGGGCAGACACAGCAGGCTGGCTCAGGGCGCGGATCGGGAAGTAAATGTGATAGATCATAGACAGGCGGGTGGCCATGGGGGAGCGAGGGCTGAGGGGAGACACCATCGTCATTGGTAACATCACCTCCCCAGGGGTTAATGGCTCATTCACCCACACGCCCCCCGCAGGGTGTGATTCCTAGATCCCAAGACCAGCAGGGACCACTGGGATCGAGTCTGACCTCCTGTGTAACACAGGCCAGAGACCTGCCCCTAAAGAATTCCCAGAGCAGATCTTTTCAAAAAACATGGCCAGTGATGGAGACTCCACCGTGAACCTGGGTAAATTGTTCCCACGGCTAATTACTCTCACTATTCAATGTCTATGCCTTATACCCAGTCTGAATTTGTCTAGCTTCAACTTCCAGCCATTGGGTCGTGTTAGACCTGCTGTCTCTCTGACTACACCAGGGCCAGTAGAAAAGATGAGGGGGAAAAATATATCCAATGCCACCCCCAAACGGGGCCCTGCCTGCTTGGCTAGCTGCACTCCTCCCCTCTGAACCAAGCAGGGCCCACCTCCCCTTGCCATCAGCACATCTGGCTTGGAAGCTACACCTCAAATCTGCTCATTCCACAGCGTGAGGTGGTCCCAGGCACCCCACTGGCTTCCTCTGTCCCCACAGCGCATCACCAGGGGCAGGCCTGGGCCCTATGGCCATGGAAAAACCAAGGGCACCTAGCTCCGTCCCCCTTCTTCTCAGAAGAAGGATGCTTCTGGCTCTCGTTACTGGAAGGGTGACCATTTATGGGGTCAGTTAATTGGACAAGCGTCCCTCATGGGGCCTTAATTAGTGAGCCTAAACGATTCGCCATTAATCTATAGCGAGGAATAAGATGCCTCATGAAAAATTATGGATTGACAATTTGTCTGAGAGCTGCTGGGATACAATAACGAGACCCTGGGAGTCCAGCCCTTCTGCTGCTGCTTGACCCTGGGAGTCCCGTCCCTGGGAGTCCAGCCCTTCTGCTTGTGGGGGGCGGGGCGGACAGTGTCCCACCTATTTAGGTCAAAGGGGCTGTCGCGGCAGGAAGGTTGTGAAGGGGAGATGTGTAGCGGGCTAAACTGAGGACGCTGTTCGTTCTGTGTCCCAGGGCTGCATGGGAGCTAATGGTTTAGAACTGGTACTCCTTCCCCACCCCAGCGACTTGAGCCTCACAGCCCAGCGAGGTTAGCCTGCCCACGAGACACACCAGAGCTTAGGGGTCTGTTACAGGAGTGGCTGGGTGAGGTTCTGTGACCTGCCATATGCAGGAGGCCAGACTAGATGATCACGATGGTCCCTTCTGGCCTTCAATTCTGTGACCTGCGCTAACCAGCAGGTGCAATTAGAGAGGAAGCCTGCCTGGTGTTCAGGGCCCTGAGTCAAGGGATGGGGAATCCCTGCATAGCTCTGCCACCGGGAAGTCACTTAACCACTTTGTGCCTCGCTGTCTCCGATAAGGGCCCAGATTCTGATCACTGTCGCGCTGCTGTAAAAGCGGTGTCGGACTGTTGGCTTGTGACTCCTGTTTGACAGCGCGTGCCCCCATTGGCACCAGGCCCAGCTGCTGGGCAGTGGCAGTGAGCGGTTCCCATTCCCTGAGGGATGATGGTGGTCATGGCGCGGGTACGCCTCACTCCAAGGAACGAGGGCTGGTGGGACAGTCAGCCCTCTGTCATTCTGACCCTCAGTCTGTCACTTGCCCCCGTGAGCCAGGCGCTGAAGTCAATGGCCTTGCACTAGTTTAGGCCGGAGAGCTACAAGTGCACAAATCACATGGCTCAGGCCCATGCTGGTGGTCCCAGGTCTGGCCTTTGGTTTGGACAGACACGCCGCCCCTTGCTTCCATGCTTTGCTCTTGGAGATTTGCCCCTGGTGGCACACAGAGGCTGAGCCAGGGAAGATTGGCAGAGACCCTGGGGGAGGGGGAGCAGGTTTCGCCTTCCTCTGCAGTGGGGGGGGCCCATGGGTCACTTACAGGTTTGAACTAGAGTCAACTAGGGTGGAGTCTCTGTAACTTGAAGTCTTTAAATCACGATTTGAAGACTTCAGTGACTCAGCCAGAGATTAGGGGTCTATTACAGCAGTGGGTGGGCGAGGTTTGTGATATGTAGGAGGTCTGGTTAGATGATCACGATGGTCCTTAAAGTCTATCAGTCTGTGAGAACTTTTCAAAGTGCCAGTGAGATTCAGTTGCCCAACTCCCATTCCTTTCAATGGGAGCTGAGTGTCCAAATCCCCTAGACAGCTTTGCTGATCCCGGCCAAGGCCTCTCACCTTCCTGAGACATGGCACTTTCATGCTGTGAACCCAGGCTTTCTACCCCTGGGGAAGGCCAGGAAGATACATTGGGGTGGCCTCCACCGCGGAGTATTACTAAGGGAGGGGGTCTAATTTCCAGTGGGAGATCCAGGGCTAGCTGCCCTTGTGGCCGTGGAGAATGAGTTCCTAGGGGGCCGTTTGCAGAGCTAGGGTTTAATTCTCCAATATAGTCCCCTTTCTAGCCTTCCTCTCTGTTAACCAGGCAAAAGAGCACAGATTTCCATGGGGGCAGGAGACAGGTAGCTCCGCTCTGCCCCTTCCCTACAGCTTGCCTTCATGTGTGCTCCTCCTTCCCCTTCCATCCACAGCCTCTTTGGCTTACCCCCAGGGCAGACTGTTATGCACTAGCGCAGAGGGAGGGGGAGCCCATTAACCAAAAGGGGGAACAGGAGGCCTTGCTCAGGAGTTTGCATGTGGCACTGATTTTGTATGGTTTCCCCATCCGCTGGAGCCACTTCTCCATGGCATTGGCTGCTGGCACAGGTAGCTCCATGAGTCAGAGCCACCCTGCCCCTAAGAGCAGAGCACAGAGAAGAAGCCTGCCTAGGGAGCACAGGGGAAGAAGCATACTGGAAGGGACCTTTTGGGTATGTGCATAGAACCCAGATCCTTGCAAGTCATATTGCGCACATCTGTGCCCACAGGGAAATCCTAGAGCTTGCTGAAGATATCTGGGCAGCCCTAGCCAGCCCTGTGTAAGCAGTAGTCCCTGGAAGGTCCACAGGGAGAAGGGATTGTTAGTGCCAGGCAAGGATATGGGCACGGAGGTTGCAGACAAGCAGCCCAACCCTGACATGGTAGCCCAGGAATTATTCTCCATGCAGCTGCCATAGGGAAAGAGACAAGTGGGGAGAAACAAAGCCTCTAGGACCCAGTATCACAATGAGAAGGTGAGGACAGCAGGATGGAAGGGTGACCCGCCTGGTAAAGAAAGGCCTCATTATATGGCTACAGGGTCCTACTCCCGGGTCCAGAGATGGCCCATTGGGGAAATTAAGGTGAATTTGGTCTGAGCTATATGCCAGTTTCCCTTTCCCTCCCACAGGGAGCTGTGCACAGGCAGACATGTCTCCTCCTGCAAACTAAGTTGAGTCTGTATTATTTGTATGAAAACGCCCCAGCTGTTTTCCTGCTGGGGTCTATGTCTGGGATTATCCATCGCAATTCACCCCAGTGATGTTATTTTCCCTGATTTAATTACAAGATTGTTTGGTGGTTTGTTCCTGTGTTTTTGTAAATCATTTTTATTCAAGTCAGAAAAAACAAAAAAACAAAACTCCATCTGAAGTTTTCTTTAGGAAACAAACAAACACAAACAAAAATCCAAACGTTAGAGCTGAATTGATTGCAGAGACAGCAGGGACAGAGGAGCCTTTTCTGGCTCATCGTCGAAAGAAACTCAACGACTGTTAAGCACAGATCGCTGAGGAGGAGAGAGAGAGTCAGTATAGCAAATAGAGATGGGAGCCACTGGCTCCTTCATTCTCTCACACACATGCAATGAGTCTCACAGTTCAATCTGCTGGAGGAGGAGGGCTGAGAGAAAGGGGGGGCGGTCTCCATTGAGTTGTGTAGGTGGACACATTTGTAGCATGCCAGCAGGGCTACCCAAACAAAGCTCTACTAGGAGTTTGTTGTGAAGAAGTGGGGGCTGGGACCTACTCCAGTCCCAGGTTTTTTTCCCCAAGAGGAGGCAGTGCAGGGCGTGTTGTGGAAGTGCTGACGGGAGAGATGCTTAGAGCTTCTCCAGGCCAAGCAGCAGGAAATGCTGTGGAAACACTGGCCGGTAGAGAAATGGAGAGTTTCTACAATCCCAGCCCAAACCGACAGCTGTTGGAAATGCTGGCGAAATGGTGGGTGTTTGGAAGAGTAGACCAGCAGGAGGGGCGGTGGGGAATGCTCCAGCAACATTGACTGTGCGGCTCTCGTGGCTATCCCAGTCCCAGCCTCTCCCAGCAGGAGGCGCTGTGGGGAACGCTGCCCGCACTTCTCCGTATCCTACGTGGCTTTTACGATAGCACTTTACCCCTCCCCCAGTTTGTGACTTTCTTTTTCTGTTTTGACATGATCCGTAGTGACTTAGAGTGACTCGCTTTGCGTACGAATGCGTTTCCCTGCACAGCACCCCCTTCCACCAGGAGAGGCAGGGAATGTGTGGGGGAGGGGCATGGGGGTGGGTGGGGCAGGAGAGGATGAGGCTGTCAACTTGCTCCGATCGAAATCCTGCCTCTGACCGTCATTCCTGGAACTCGCCCACCACTCTACAAAGGGCCAACCTTGCAGCCGTTACTCACCTGAACGAGCCCCGTTGAAGGCGATGGCACAGTCTGAGATTCACCACCGTGCCAAAGAACCAGCACCAGTCCCGGTGCCATGTTATCCCTTAAAACAGGGTTTAAGTAGGAAGTAAGAGGGGACGGCCCAGATCCCCAATGGTATTTAGGCACCGAACTGCCATTGGGCTGAGGATCTGGGCTGCAATGCTTTGGGCTGGTCCTCCGCATGGGGCTGAAGTCCATCCATGAGCAAAGGTGGCAAGACCAGGCCCTGCAGAAGGGGCTTGTTCCATATACATTCGCACAGCGCGGCATTCCATATGTGACCTACGTGAGGGTGAATGTAAGTGTAATGAATAGAGGGGGCCAGATTCTCAGCTGGTGTAAATGGGCGTCCATGGAGAGCTGCTGCAGCTGATCTGGCTCGCTCTTTCTTTTCTTTCCAGACTCCAGTGACTTTTTTTTTTTCCTTGCTGTAATTATCATTGTGGAATTAAAAAACAACCCTAAAAAAAAATAAAACCCCCTTGCATTTTTTTGTAATCTGTGTTGTCAGTGCTTTTGTAAAAAAAAAAAATAATAATGTAATGGACTGAATTTGCTTTTATGATTTTTTGTTTTGTTTTCCATCCTTTGTAATAATTTTTGGTGAGGGGGGCGTTTTCATGGTTCTGATTGGGGGGGGTGTTGCTTCACCCTCCCTTTTACTTGTATAAAATAAAGTAGTGGGTCAGCTGTGGAAAGAAATGTACTTTTTTATAAATAAAGAATTTTAAAAGAAGCAGCGCGTTTCCTTTTCGACTGCGAAGGTGTCTCGCTGCAACGCGTGGCCGGGTGCAACAGAATCAGGGGAAGCTACGCCTTTCCACTTGCCATGATCTTTTCCGTGATATGCGGTGCTTTCAAACGGGACTGCTTGCAATCCAAAGGGGAAGAAGCCAGCCCAGAACCCATGACTGTCACAGGACAAGCTTGGAGAGATCAATGCACTGCAGGCAGGAAAGGGTGCCTTGCTAGAGAAGACCCTGGAGGCTACATCTCTACAGGCCTATTGATTGATCTCTACATAGGGAAAAACCCAATCTTTGCCATCCATTGTCTGTCTGTCCGCCTACAAACAGCTTGCCAGGGAGTCCTTGTTCCTCTGCTCACGCAGAGCCTCCTGTCTTTGGAGAGAGAGAGAGAGAGAGAGAGAGAGAGAGAGATTTAGCTAGAGAGTGAGATACAATAGATAATAGATCAAATAGAGCAGATTTGTTCTTACGTCCCCTGAAGTCAATGGGAGTTTTACCGTTGATACCCATGGAGCGGAACCCTATTAGAGAGCTCAGTAAGCATGTGGGGGAAACCAATTGATTCTATCACATGTAGTGCCTGGCTCATAGTGATCTCCCTATATTGCACTGGACAGCTTTGCTCAAAAGCCCTGACCACAGCGGGACAAGGAACACACTGTTCTGGCTACTGGTTCTCAGGAGCAGAGTCCCAGCACAGGTTTCTCCATGAGTGGAAGGCGGCGTTTGCTTTCTTTTCTGACTGCATAGCGCTGCTTAACGAGAGATGAACTTGAACCAAAACCCGGGGTCCCAGCACCCCAGAGAGACTGGGAGTGGGATCCTGATCCAAATCTGAACTCAGCCGGATCCAGATCTCAACTCAGCCGATTAGCGTTGTAGTACAGAATTGTTCTACTGACAAGCTGGGTTAGGTTGGGTGGGTGGGTGGGTGAAAGAGTTAGTCTGCATCACACAGCTCAGCTCACACGGTTCGTTACCCATCTTCAATGAAGCACGCTGGCAGCTGGCACCCGTCTGGTCTCAGTGTAACAGGGCCTATGGGGAGGTTACATCAGAACTAGGAATGCAGTTTGCAAAGCACTGGCCTGACTAGGGGGTTGTCTCGTTTCTTCCCCAGATGGCTTGACCTCGAGCTGGGGTTTCCCTTAAAGCAATGGGCAGTGCTGGATTTAACCCTTCGTACTCCAAGATAGCTGCCTCTCTTTAGCCTCAGATCTAGTCTAGCCCAGGGGCTCTCAACCTGGAGGTCACACACATGAGTCAGAGGGTTGTGACCACCCTGCCCTTCTCATATTGCATATGGAAAGGGGGGTCAGCGGGGGCGGGAAGGTTATATGGAAGAGAGGGTTGCAGTACGGCAAAGGCTGAGAAGTCCTGGGTGATGGTGTATAGAAATGGGGACCGGCCCCAGAACAAGCATAGGCCATTCCATTGACTTCATCAAGATGGTCAACATAACGAGGGATTAATTTTGTCCTGCAGGATCAGTCTCTCACACAGACTGGGAACTCACCTTGGCCCGTCGCTGGTCTCTAGCATGCTCTATAGCTTGCTGAGCATGGGGCATCCCACATTCCTAGGAGTCCCCTGAACCCAGGGGCTGGGACTCAGTATGAAGGTATGTGTATCATCGGTAGCTGCAGCTTTATGGCCCAGGGACAGTGCAGGGACTGAGCCCTTCCACCCTGCACGGGGCTCAGAGTAAAACCCTGGGGGATTTTTTGGGCGGGAGGGTGGGGGTTGGAAAGATGCTCTCCTTTAGGACCTGGCAGAAATTTGGAAAGGGATGTTAATCTGGGAGGCCTTAGGGGAGGGATGAGCCAAAAGAATCCCAAGCAGTATTTGTGCAGCAAATTCAGTCCTGCCCCACCCTCTCCTTCCCTGGCTGCTTCTCGGGGACCAGGCGTTAATATCCAGAAGGCAGTCCCTGAGCCACTAGGTGGGTGAGCCACTGGCTCAGCTGGGATATGAATGCCACTGAGACCTGGGAGCGGGGAATCTTAGTGGTTTGAGACTAATCAGGGTTTCGGTGGCAATTAAATTCTGATTGATGGCTCACGTGTACGGGTGACAGCAACCCCTCCGGATCAGGGTTGGGAAGGGCCAGCATGTACTGTGCTGCCAGTGACCATCCAAGGCAGCCCACTGGGGCTGGCACAGGAGAAAGGGGCCCTCCAGCATCAGAGGCCAGCTCAAGAAAGCATTAAAGAATAACTATAATCTCCCAGCTGTCGATGCACTGATAGGTTCCTCTCCCAGTGGCAGGAGCAGCGATGTGTGCTTCTGAATGCCAGTCGGTGTCCTGTTGGTTCACATCACCTCCAAGTGAGTTGAGGGCAGCTAGGGAAATCTGTCCGGACTGATTTGGCCTACGGTGATCTTGCAAAAGTGCACGGGAAGGAAAAGGTCAGCAAGCGGCCCAAGCGCTGCAGGCAGGCCATTGGACAGTGCCAGCACCCAAATCGAGTGCCCATATCTATTGTCTGGCAGCTCTTCTCCTCTGACCTTCCCCCACCTGGGAACAGCAGATGTCTGCAAAGCAGCATCACTTCAGTTGCAATCATGCAAGTCAACAGCACCAACAGAAACTAATACACTGATGTACAGGGGCATCGGCATATATAAGTGGATTCCTAACAGCTGGTTCAGCAAAGCCAGCTAAGTTCAGTGGGAGATAAGGGAGCACACACTGGGCTGTGAGCAGGAAAGAAGGCGGGGATAGAGGGTGCGGGCCTGCTGCTCTTTTGCATGGTCCTGCAGCGACCGCGCTAGGGAAGTGCTGCCCTCATTTCCCAGACCATGGCTTACAGTTGAGCGATGATGGATAAAGCCCATAACGCGGGGCTGCTTCTCCGCTTGGGATGCAGGGAACTGAGCATGACAGAAGCCGGAGCTCCCTCCTGGTGCCCTAAGTGTTTTGTTTCTCTGGAACAAAATAAAAACACGGTGGTGAGTGGAATCCCAGTTTTGTGTGTGTGCGCGCACGGCCTGGGGAAAGATGGCAGGCAGGTGGGGCAGCTTGGCTCTATTTCTAAAGCTACATCTTTGCAACCTATAGGCTGGCACAGCTGGTGGCGAGGGCTACATTCAGAGCCCGGCTGGTGGGCAAGAGTGCGGGCGAGGAGCCAGCGAACAAGCTGATGTGAAGGAGGCTAGATCTGGCTGCAGAAGCCAAGGGACGGATTCTGATCTTGGTGTAAATCTAGAGCCAATAGAGTCACTCCAGATTTACCTCAGTGGAGCTGAGAGAGGAATGGGAATGAACGATCAATTCTCCCTCCCCTGGGATGGTTCCTCTAGGCCAGGGGTCGGCAACCTTTCAGAAGTGGTGTGTCAAGTCTTCATTTATTCACTCTAATTTCAGGCTTCGCGTGCCAGTGATACATTTTAATATTTTTAGAAGGTCGCTTTCTATAAGTCTATAATATATAACTAAACGGTTATTGTATGTAAAGTAAATAAGGGTTTTAAAATGTTTAAGAAGCGTCATTTAAAATTAAATGAAAATGCAGAGCCCCCGGGCCGGTGGCCAGGACCCAGGCAGTGTGGGTGCCACTGAAAATCAGCTCGCGTGCCGCCTTTGGCATGCGTGCCATAGGTTGCCTACCCCTGCTCTAGGCCAAGCTGCATGAGTTCTGTGCTGCTGGGAGCCAAATGTCCATGCAGGCTGAGTTCTCCCTGCCATCTGGGACAGGGTGATCCCTGCAGGGCAAGGTCAAGGTGGCACCGATGGCCCCGTGGTTGGGGAGCCCAGGGCTGGATGGCCATGCAGCGTGAATTCCCCCATCTGGAGAGAGTGATCCCACCAGGTCGAGGTAGCGAATCCATCAGTGCAGCAGCAGATGGCCGGGGAGGAAGCTAAGCATGCCTCTCATTCCTGTACTGCATGCCTTGTGCTGCATGTATAGTCCCTGCCCATTAAAGAAGCTTCCCTGGCATCAGCCCATCAAAAGCACTCAGTGCTGCGTGCAAAGGCCTTGCAGAGCTCACTGCACCCGCAGAGGGCTCCTTGCCACTCCCTGCTCTCTGCTCAGCTCAGCTTCCCTAGCCATTGCCAGGCACAGCCTGTCCTCCTGCCAGCGCTGCCAAGCCCAGCACTGGCAAAGTTCTGTTTCCTTTCATCAGTGCTTCCTTAAGAGGTCTCTGTCTTCTGCAGCAGCCGGGCGAAGGCAGGCGGCCTGGAACTGCTCCACGGAGCAAAGCGAGTGCTGGAGCAGCTGGGAGAGGCTGACCTGAGTGCGGGAGCTGCTGTGGCTGGGAGCTTGCATGTTTATCTCTGCTTTAATTTTAGGCCTGGAGCAACAGCCCTGAAGGTCTAGATGGATGGTATCCCCAGCACGAACAGGACAGCCCTGTGGATGGGGCCTGTCTGCGGTATGAGCCTTCCGTCGGAGTAAATCAGGCGTCACCCCACTGAAGTCAGTAGAGTTACACCCCTGTCACAATGGGGTCAGGGAGGGGAGAATCTGGCCTGTCAAAGTTGCCTCTGCTTTAGTTTTGCCTGGCCAGCTTCAGTGCACGACCCCGTTGAAGGGAATGAGCCAGACTCACAGCTGGTGTAAGCACGTCCAGCCCTGTTGGTTTTGATGGCATTGCCTGCCTTTTCCCCCGCGTTGAATTTGGCCCGGATGGGCTGCCTAGCAAGTATGGAATTCTGCTCAGTGCAAGCAGAGAACCTGCCTGTCGTTTTGATGCATCGGAGCTCTGGGGAGGGAGTTCTCCTCCACGATGTTCCTAACCCTCACCTCTCGGACAACCCTCAGTATCAAGTAGATCCCCCAGGATCCATGGGTGCTGCAGGCTCAGCAAAGCTAGTGTTGGAAGAGTTACCAGGACTTTAGCCATGTCTATAGGAGAGTGCACTCAGGCAAAGTAAAGGCTGGAGATTGATTCCACTGGCAGAGAGTCCATCTAGATCAGCGTAAACCCAGGGCTAGACTGATGCTTAGATCTTATGGTGAGGGATGCTCTAAAAAGACCACAG